ACCTACGCTATTTCTTGTAAAACACTACGAATTAATTCCAACACCTAATATATATATATATATATATTGTGACGTGGTAATCGCGTTGCTCCTCCCTCGCCACAAAAGCTCGAATGGTCGCGAGAGTCCGGGAGTGCGAGCCGTCTAAGAAGCGCCAGGATCCTCCAGGGCTTGCTTGCGTACGCTAGATTTAGTCGCTTATTTTGTTATTTTTTTGTTTGCTCTTGGCGCCTCACCACACCGAAAACACACTACTGGAGGAGATATCCGGAGCCGTCGATTGTTGGATAAAGGCAAGAGAAAGCGAGAGAGAAGGGCGTGCGTGGAGTCGCAGCTAGGCACTCGCACGACGGCCAGAGGGGTGAGTCTCAAAGAACAAGCGGCGCGGGAGAGGACTGCGACGAAGACAGTGAATTTCGGCGCTGGGTAGCCGAAGAAAAAAATACGAACACACAACAATAGAGACAGCTTTGACCTTCTTTTCGCATCGGAAAGATCTGCTGCAAACCTTCGTTGCTAACCTGCAACTGCTATCCTGTTGCGCTACCGCATGCTGCCTCTTTGTTAAATCTGCGGCATCCAACGCTTGGAAATATCTGCTGCTGCATTTTCGCTAGTGAGGGCCCGGTAATTTATTTGAATTTCGCGGCCGCGGGTCCTGTCGCCGAGCGCGAGCATCGCGTCGCGTGTAGCGCCCCTCGCGACCTGATTGGCCGCAGCGACCTACTCTACGCGACCCTAGCGCGCTCAGACGCATCAACCCCGAATCGATCGCGATTCTCGCTCTCTTGGTCGCTATCTACTGAACGGGACGGACGCACTGATGGCACTCCCGACGATCTAGCGTTCAACGACAAACTTAGCAAATTTTCTGGATGGAGAGCGACGACGACGTACGGTAAGATGCCCTCATTTAATTGTGAGCCATGAATCCGCGTTACTCAAGTCTCGTGTCGAGGCTAGTCGCTGAATCTCGTGTGTTGATACCGGCAAGGACATAACCTTCGCCATAGTTTCAAATTTTTGGCAGCGGCTAGAATCGGATTTCACGGGGCTTCGTGGTATTAGTTCGTAGGTCTAAGTGCGTCTCTCGTAATTACTTTATTGAGTATTACAAGCCCTGGAGTTCCGGTAACGCGCCAAGCAGCATCCTGGTCATTTTGTTGTGTTTCGCGTGTAAAAGTGTTTATCTATCGTATCGTTTCGCGACCGCCATATTCTGTACCGGGTATTGTACCGAATCTCGGACTGATTATCGTATCATCAATCTAACGCTATCGTAACGTTTTTCGTCCTGCGTACTATTTATAGCTTATCTGTCACCTGCTGCTGTACTGGCTATTGTACCGATCTATCGTACCGCTACCAATCTAATGTATTTACCATGCTCTCTTTTGGATAGTCAAGTCGCTAATTGCGACATTGCACGCTACTCTATCGTACCGCTATTACATTTTCTAAAGCAGTTTGGTGTGGATTTTCCGAGTGATCTGTCTAGAGTGAGGGGTGTGCGATTCGGAAGAGCAACAAAAGAGAGAACGTTCGCACACGTCCCAGGTGCGCATTTGTTTACTTTTCCGCGAACTTTTTGCGACGGGCATCGTTCAGCTAGTCGCGAGCGTACCTTGAATACGCCGTCGCGTCAGCTAGTCTAAGCTCGGTCGTTGGAATTCGTCTGGAGTTTATCGTACAGTCCCGATCTCTGCCGCCTTGAAGAGCGAGCAGATTATCGTAGCGACAATTAGAAGAGTGCCGTCATTGTATCGAACGAAAGAGAAATACGTTATCGTACCGAATCGAAGAAACTTGTCGTACCTGTCGTACTGGGGGATCTATCGGATCGGAGAGTGCATAGCTCTCGTTCCGTGTGGCGAACTCCACGGCGGACTCGCCATTTGAAACAGGCGAAGTTTACAGTCATTTCGACTTTAAATTGAACTAACTTTTCCGATTTTGCGAGCGCTTCACTCAGGTGCGCTAATTGGCACGTGGTTGCTGCATTATACTTGGCTGCTGAATTACATCGAGACCAGTGACGGGAATTTGGCGAGAGCTTCGCGCCGTGCATGCACGCGGCGTGAGCCCGACCAGCCCCTGCGAAATCAAGTAAGTCCGACGGCGTAGATATTACGCCTTGCGACCTGCTTTTGCATGCCTCGTGGTAAGCGCACGATTTTACTAGAGTAGTCTCTTTCGCCGCTTTCATATTCTCGAAGGCTTTGACTAAAACGCTTGGTACTTTGTCTATCCTATTGCCTGATAACGTAGAGTTTATGTGAAGTCAGCGCGACGACATAGCGTTCCCGGTGTCACGCGTCGTTATAAGAAGTTGGTCCTGCGATCGATTATGTTTCTGTGAAGAGCGTATTGTTATTGGTCACCGTAATTTTGTTATTTTCTTTTATTTACTTTCTTTTGTTGTTAATTATCGTCGCGACAGAGCAAACTCGCCGTATCATATTGGTGAACTTTATTTTTGTATTTTTTTCTTTTTCGCAAATTTGTCTCTTATTCCGCGGTATTATAATAAATTGTTAATTGTTATTCCTATCTGCAGTGTGGTTAATTGCGAGTCTAATCCGAGATTCGTTTGGGACAGCCTTAGTTATTTATCGTACAAACCCAACTCCTCTCCATTCCAATAGAGCTAGTCGGCCCGTTGTGTCGAGCGACGCAGATTTTGACGCGGTCACGCGTCTGGCGCCCAGAATTTTTACAAAGGATCCGTCGGCTCGGCGCAGTGGTGTGCTCATGTTACAATCCTTTTCTCTCCTGCCAATACAGACGTTCCCGATCTCGCGGACTTCCGTCCGTGTCCCGATTTCGTACTTCCGTTTCGGACGGGGCGACGCGAGAACTTCGTAAGAACTCAGAAAAACGTCACAATATATATATATATACAGGGTGTCCCAGAAGTAGTGTAACATCTCTTGTAAACAGGTAGAAGGAGTAAAACTAAGTCGATAACTCCTATACCATTTTGCTAGAATTGCAATAGTTACTGAGATCTTAATTAGCAAAGATCCGCAAATGAGCGTGCATCGGATTGTCTTACGCGCGTAGGATAGTGCTTCTCATAATTACGTTTTAATATGTATATGCTGTAAAGAGTATATGCTGTTATATTAGCTCCTCTCATATGTTGCTGCGGGTAACACCGTAAGCGCGCGAAGCGCACTGGGCTCTCTTACGCGCGTAAGACAGCCCGATGCACGCTCATTCGCGGATCTTTGTTAATTAAGATCTCGGTAACTACTGCAATTCTAGCAAAATGGTATAGGACTTTTTGACTCAATTTTACTCCTTTTATTTATTTACGAGAGATGTTGAACACCAATTCTGGGACACCCTGTATATATATACAGTATATATATACACAACTTTATTGTTAGAAGCTTTGTCAGGGAATGTCAGGGGAGAAATAAATATAAGGTTTTTGAGTTCCCCGCTTATTCAATTGGCAAATTTCGCATTTGTTAACAAATTCTCTTATGTCCACTGTTATGTTCGACCAGTTGTATTTTTGTCTAATTTTCTGAAGCATTTTTTTCGTTGAATAATGCCCGCCTAATATTCTTGAGTGAGCGTCCAATAATTTCTCTTTTATTTGTTATTTCCGAGTTGTATTCAGAAATGTAAACGTGTAATTTTTCTCCGAGATAATATTCGTTGATAATCGCGAGTAATTTAATTATTTCTTTTTGGTCATGTATTATGTTTAGATGTCGGTCGTTTTCAGTAAAGAAGTCATGCATTTGTGTACTCGTCTGTTGGTGAGTTGCGTGTGGAGAAACGTAGATTTCGTTTTTCCTGGTGATTTCGGGTGGAGTTTCAATATACAATATAGTTTTATTAGTGAGTTTACCGACTTGGTTTTTAGTTATCATTTCTTTGATTTCTGTTTGGGATTCCTCAGAGGAAGAAAGAAGACTGGGTGACGGAGAGTTACGGGGAGGCGTCGTTTTTGGTGTAGAGCTAGGAATTGATAGAGTAGTAAACAGTCAATAATTATTTTTGCTCTGTTGTCCAGATCGTGTTCAGCAATAACACAGTCGATCATCTGTCGTGTTTCTTTGCTAAAAGGTCCCTTAATTGTTAGTGTCCATTTTGAAGGATTTGTGTCGGTGTCTTTGATAATAGGAAGAATGTGGGCACGTAAGAGGTTAGGAGTAATGAAGTCAGGATCGATATTTTCCCATCGGAGGACCGAATCCTTATTAATAGCTATTTTGATATGAAAATTTTCTCTTTCTATTTCCGCGATAATTCTCTGGATTTCGTCAAAGTTTTCTTGAGCTACCCAATTTCCTTGTTTTTGAATCATTCCCATGGCTCTCAATCGTACAGAAAGGGCTTGTTGAGTTACTCCCAATGATTCTGCAAGCTCCTCTTGCGTTTGACTCTGATCTTCTTCGAGTAATGCCTCCAAGTCTTTGTCTTTGAATTTTTGTGGCTGTTCAGAGCGAGCTTGTCTTCAACGCTAAAATCTCCATCTTTGAAACGTCGAAACCATTCCCTACATGATTTATCAGTTGGAACAGTGTTACCATAAACTTCGACAAGCATTCGATGGGCTTCAACTGCACTTTTCTTTCAATTAAAGCAGAAAATTAAAACCTCCCGCAAATGCTGCTTGGTTAACACAAAATTCGACATTTCAAACACAGTAAAAATCAAGGTTTTTGTATGAAACTCAAAGCGACATAAACTGAATATTATTAGCAGATGTCTAACCTATCTGAAACCGCCAAAATCAGTTGTCATTATGAACCATTCACAACAGCCGGAGCCATCTTTTGGAAACGGACCGAACTAATTCGTACTCCTAATAGTATTCTTCATAAAATAATAATTTAAAGAAATAATAAATGTGTAGAATACCTTGAGAATAAGTAGATAGAAATAAAAATATTATAAATTTGAGTAAGAAACGAGTGGTCTCGCGTATTGAGTACAGAAGCTGAGAATATAGAGGTGTCGAGTTCGAATTGTGCCATCACCTTAAGATTTTCTTCAAGTCTTTTTCAATAGAGTGTATCAGTTGATCGGCAAGCTGAATCTGGCCTCCAAAGATTAATTCGAGTGAAATGTTGTCGAAGCTGTGTGAGAGCGCGCAAACTGAAAAAAATTTTTTTATCCGAACTAAATAGAAAGATTCATATATTAGTTTAAATAGAAAAAACCAAATTTTTTGATTAAAACAATCAAACATTTGGTTTGATTTCCCAAATTTTGGTTATCTTAAGAAAACTTTAGTGTACTATTTAATGGTCCAGTATTACTATGGCCCAGCACATTTAATATCACAATTCTTGCCAATTGTCGCAGACAAACGTCCAGAAAACGTTCTATAAATAGTTCTTCAGAACATATCCAGAAGTAGCTATATGTGCCAATGAAGTAGTCTTCAAAACGTTTGACACAGAATCGTTCCCGAACTTTGGTGCTAAGGAAAATGTTTATAAAACGTTTTCTGAACTAATTTTTCTTCACTGGGTATATATAT